TATATCAATTATATTAACAATAATATTAACAAATATATTAAAATATTAACTATATATATTATTGAAACATTCTATATGATATATGATACTATATTCTAATGGTAAATGAACTCATACTTGGCCCATTCTTCCAAAAGAGTTGCAAAGTGTGCTTTGAGAACCGAATTTCCGAGTTTTTCATTGTCAAGTGATTTTTCAATCTTTGTTAACAAAGTCGGTAATTTTTGTGGTAATGCACCAGTCCATTTAACTATATGGGATTTTGCGTTTTCGAGCGTGTGCTCATTGAGTATTATATCGAGCCTGCATACACTTGCACAAGGTAAAGGAATCGCTACCGAGGTATCTACACCTGAAGATTTTAATATTATACATATTGTTATAAAATTTTTTTTTGGTAATTAACCATATTTATAATTATTTTTTCTAAAATAATGCGATACCGATAAAGTTACACGTGTCAGGATCCATGTATTCCGATGTTTCTGTTTTTACCCTTCGACATGCTCTTGGTATAAGACTGCTAAGTCCGTATAAAGATTCCAATCTTTGAATTTTCGGGCCTCTTACCAGGACTTGCACGCCAGTTAAGCAGGAATACAGCAGCTGCCTAAACTGATCCTTTTCCAATATTTGTTTCAAATCTCGTAAAATTACGGCAATAGATTTTTCCGCGATTTCAGCAAATTCTGGCAAAAGTTCCGAATCGTCCGAGTTAAGATTTAAGTTTATTGGCAATTTTGCGTTTACTAAAGTAAAATTTTCTTCAGTTTCTGCAAATTATTTGCGATATTATAATTTTTTCATTAAAAAGAGGTATATTTGATCAGTTATATTATTACAGATATTAATTATAATTACTAACCAATTTGATGTTCAAAATTATAATTAAGTTCATCATCTAATAAACTCATTGGGAAAATTTCTATGAAATGCCTTGCACCAGCACTAAGGATCCATACTAACCACATGTGAATTCTGAAACAGATACATTATGCAAAATATGATTAAAAGATGATATTACTAATTTATAATAAATAATTGTTTTTATACTTATAATAATTGTGGTTATATATATATTTTTTCTTTTTTTATCATAATTTATATATAATATAAACAATAATTACCTTACAAAAACATGCTTTTCATTTGTTATATCATTAAGTGCTCTGGATTGTTTAGTTATAGGAGCATGGCAACCAGCTCCACTGTTTGCCGTTGTTAGCCTCATTGCCCTCTGTGGACATTCTGCTTCTTCCGCATTATATTTTTTCTCTGCAAAATCTTGCAGCTCTTTAATTACTTCCTTTAAATTGTCGATTAAAAATGGCCACATGTTCAACAAGAATTGCTTATCTCTCATGAAAACAATAAAACTGCACCATCTCCTAAATCCTCTTGCCTATCAAAAGAGAAATATATGTGAGAAAATTGGAATGATATTATAACAAAATGTTAAGCTCTAATAATTTAGTAGTGACATGACTTGAAAAATTTATTGTAATAACTACCAAACATGCTTTTTCGTTGCATAATTCACCTGGGCATCTTTCAATGTAAAAGTATGACTTAAAACATGCCCCCTGTACTCATCTCCAAAGTAGCAAACACCTTCTTTACCAGGATGCACTTCGCAGCTTAGGCTCCTTGAAAAAAGAAATAGGCAGTAATAGAAGAGAGTTTTTTAAGGAATTATATATATTAAATAATACATTTAATAAGTCACATGTATACAAAAAATTAATTTATAATAAAATTGAATTTATATATATATGTATATGTGATTTATGATTAATAATAAATTTATAATAATATTATATATATTTCTTAATATAATTTTAAAGATTTGTAAACTGAATACAATCATTATACCTAACACAAGCATGCTTTAATAAATTTCCAATATCTTGCATCAATGATTGTTGAGCAGATAGGAAAGATGTCCTTGTTTCATGCTCGTTGCTCAAGTATTTGATATTTCCAATACTTTGACAGCCCTCACATTCATCCTGTACATCCTCCAAAGAATTATGACTCTGTCTTAACACTTCTTTGGGTCCATAAAATTTCAATTTCTCTATGTTTTGCGTATCGTAATTACGATACGTTTGTGTGGTGAATATTACTTTAGGTCCATGCATTTCACAGAAAGTGCACAATGCAATTGCAGCATTCATTGCTTTTGGAAAACACAATGCTTTCTCTGTATCTTTTTTATTTATCTCAGATGAAAAATCCACAATATTATCCACAATATCATTATCTTCACATGGTCCTAGGTTGTTAATCTACAGATTGTATAGCCTGAAATTATATCTCACATAAATATATGTACTCACTTATCTTCGCTAAGCATTTATAATAATAAAATAATTGTGTATTTATTGCACAGAGAATTTTATATATATATATATATATATATATATATATATATATATATATAGAGAGAGAGAGAGAGAGAGAGAGAGAGAGAGAGAGAGTATAATGTTATATTTTTTAAATTTGTAATATGTAATATAATTATATTCTCCAAATATGTAACTATCATACAGTATCACACGAAGAATAATATGATTCACATAAACATATGTTAGTTAAATATGATTACAATTTTGATGTAAAATTACTTTAGCTTTAGATAATTTATAATTTATGATAGAATTCTATTTACAAAAATATTTGAAGAATTAGAATAAAGACACATATACAAACTATATCAGAATATATATATCTTTAAATACACGATACATAAAATAATAGAATTTTATCCTAAATTTTATTGCAAATTAGAGACTAAAATGAGTTTATGAGATTTACAAATTTAAAACAATTTACACATAATTTATAAAAAGACTGTAATAATTTATGACATAACCTTAATCAAGATATTTTTATAACACATAATCCCATCACCTGTTTGCTCATAGATTGTTCAGTAAAACTTTTCCACAAAGTTAATTTTTTTCATCCTTTTCACGTGATAAAACAAAAATGAAGTCGACACAGAGACACGTGACATTATGATAGCTAATCTCGACATTGGCTCAGCACTCTGCAAGATGAGCACATATATACACACACATATATGTATATATGATACATACTACATATGCAAACATAAACTAAATTTACACAATTGCATATCGGGTTGCCGATGGGAAGGTACTTGTGTGTGTATGTGTGATATATGTCAAAATGATCTCATAGAGGCCATATATATAGCCAGTTATAATATATCGTAATTCTTATAAATAATTTTATTAGGATAAAAAAAATATATGTGGAAAAAAGAGAGAAAAAGATTTTATTTTTTTCCTATACATTGAATTCACAACCAAATTTTAATTTGAAACCTTCATAAGCAGCTCTCATCCATATACCTACAGCATGTGCTGCAGGATCTGGATACTTGAACGTCTACATATAATGTATAAATTATAATTTTATCAAATATCTATAAATGAATATCATGATGCGTGTAAAAATATGTTAAAGTTAAATAATACCTTGCAATTTGTAGAATCAACAGAATGTGATTCCGACACATGTACAGTTTGTATAGCAGAAGTTTCAGCAGCTTTAACAGCTTCTCCGAATGCATCGGTAGGACTTAATCCCAAATTTAGCGCATCTTTTAATTTATATTGTGCAGGTATCAAAGCATCCAACATGCTTCTTTCACCTATTAATGCTCCGCTGACCTCAGATATCATCTTGTTTGCAGATGTTAAGACAGTTAACCACATGCTTGCAGTTAATTGCTCATCATCTTGAAATCTAAGAAAGCTCTAAAATATTTTTCAAGATTTCTTTCCTCTGTCTTAAAAATAAAAAGAGATTGATAGTCTCACCTTGGCAATAGTATCAAAAAATAATGAATATATTCCACCTTCTAAGCCACCCATTTCTTTCTCAATAATTCGACTTATCTGTGTAAATGCTATAGAAGGTCTTGTTGCTGAAATACTGCCTTCCTACAATATATAAAAATTAATTACTATCATTAAAACCATATTTATTTTTATCCTTTGTATCACCTTGATTGCTATTTTTATAACACTGGCAGTATGAGCAAGTGTAGTTCCATAATTTCCATCGCCGCATTCCTCATCCATTATGTTTAGTTGTCTAACACATGCTACTAGAGCGTCGCATGCAAATGTTAAGATTACAAGAAATCCTGGACCACTCTGAGGCTGCATCATTGGCCCTATATCAGATACACTATTCTTGTGTACAGTCTGCAATTAAAAGATTGTAATATATATTGCATTATATATATATTATATATAAACAATATTTATATTTAAAAAATATTTAGTTATGAAAAATATATAAAATATAGTCAGTATATAATTTTATATATATAACAATTAATATATATAATTAAATACATTTGACTTATATTACCTGCGAGTTTTGCTCTTCTGCGTTATGCGACATTATTTCATCAGTCTTCATCATAAAACATGAAAAATAGATTTCTGTTTCTACGAAACGCACATACCGCTACTTTTACCATATAAAAATTGACGTTGACTGATATGTAATCAAATCTCTCTTCTGTATCCCTCTATTCGGGATCTCTCTCTCTCTCTCTCTAATTGGAACAGCTGATTCTACGCTTGCATGAAAGAACTTCTTGTCATAACGTATTGTTGAGTCTTGTGAGTGCCAGCTCGTATAATAATCGGCAATGAAATTCAGGGAGATTTATGCAGCGAATAAGCGCGATCTTTGTAATTGTATTGATATATATATTTTATTTAGAAAACGACACATATATTGCAAATCTAAAGAAATGTTTACGATTATCTAATATATATTTTGATTGTATATTTTCTTTTACTGATTTTTACAGTATATTACATATGGAACTTAATTAATACATATACTCTATTAATGACTAATTTTTTTTTCCATTAAATGGAAAATTTAATGAATGTTAATGTGTTAAATAACAAATATCAGTTAATTATGCGCTGATTATAATTTATTTATATACATACCTTTCTCTCGCTTTCTCTCTATCTTTTGCCATTGTGTGCAATACATGTTTATCAAAAAATATTTATAAAAAATTTAAAAAATATTACTTAAAAAATATTTATTAGAAATTATATATATTTATATGTATTGTATAGAATTGGATTAAATAAACAATATTTAATTCTACACAATGTCATATGAAGTATTTTAAAGCAAAAGAACGCAATACATTTGTAGTGTTCAACTAGTATACTATCAATGTATAGCAATAATTACAAAATATTCACATTGATATTATATTTCAGGTGTCACATATATTGGATATTGAGATTTCATGAAAAACATTAAAAATAAAAGACTTTAAAATAAAGACAATTGTTAAATGACAATTAGTAAATAATTAATCCATAAATTTTAAAAGTTTTATTTAGAAATAATGAAAATTTACAATAAAAATCTAAAGCAATATAAATTTAGTTTGCATATTTTTATATTTGTAATTGAATATCAATTAATATTTATTGGACTATAAGGACCATAGGAACCACATGGATGTTAATGGAGAATCAATGGGTAAAAAAAGAAAATAATGTTATGTGTATAAAGAGATATTTATTCATGATTGTGTGTAATTCAGCCGCTCGTGGCCGAATTTGATTTACGCTACATCACGACTACTCCTGCGAGCTTTGCTTTATCGAACACACGATATATTGTGGCATTTAAATTGTCGCTAATCGGAGATCCATTATACATATATAGTAGCCCGACAAATACGTAATAATGCGAGGAAGAAACAATTTAATCTGCCATAATATAGCAATTCGATGAGCAAACTCTGCAATGGATTTCCATTACTAGCTTCAAGCTAATGCGAATAATATGACTCTCAGCGAATAACAATATGAAATTTTCTTACATATTATCAGTCTACGAATTTACGCTAAATCCTTGCTCATACGTAAAAGTATATTCAGACACAATCGTCGTAACAATACCCGTAACATTGTCATGCATTCACGCGATCATTGCATGCAATATGTACAGCCATCTAGGATTAAAAAAGTCATCATTATCAACTTCACGCAGGATTCATACCGCACAGCACGGGTTCTTTGCTTGTATTTAAATATTTTGGTATATGCATTGGTATACACTGTATGACGTCCTCGGGGCTTCAGTTGTTTGTGTTTTTAAAACCTAATCAAAAATCAGTATATTTTTTTCTAACACGATGGGACGTTTGCATTCGCATATTTAGCGTTATTCTACTTATTGTCTACTGTAAGTTTCGCAAAACTTTGCTGCTGCTGCCTTTCGAAGCTCTGTGTACAAGAATGTCAACGACATTCCCTGTACACTATTAAAATTGAGCAATTCTAATTTAATAGAGCAACAAAAAAGTTATCTATATTCTGTAGAAAGATCGTTAACAAATGCATATAAACAACAATTGTTATTAACAATTTGGCAATAAACAATTTTATAATCACTAACGGTATTTGCTACTATTGCGTACGCGTGTGCATTCTCGAAGCTCTCGGATATACGTATTGATTTGTTACTTTATAACAAATAAGTGTGATGCGATCGTAGTTATACACGACTCGAGCAATGTGATGGTAATTTGACAGGATTCGATATAGTATCTTGCACTTTCGTCCGAGTAATTTATATTTAAACTATTCCCTTACCAATTTTCACCAGATCAGACTTAAAACGTGACATTGACTTATTTGTAGTGTACCAGTTGCCCCATTATAGACTACTTTCAAGTACATCCTTAGGACATCTATCAGGACGCTATCAGTTTTTTGAATGTTTCAGAGCGACTTCGTGATGTTGTTAAACAATCGTTTGCCCCACCAAGATTCCAAATCAAATGGTTTGAAATCTGAAATGATTTATTCATACTTTAGCGCAACTTTCAAGATTTTGTACAGTTAATTATTGTAACATATAGTGCGAGAAACAAGGATATTAATTAATTTTAAAACATTGTATAATATAATTATAAATTATAATATTACATTTACCTTGAAGGCTATCATTTGGTTCACCATCATTGTAATATACTATGGAATTAGAATCTGTAGCAAGCAAAACATTACATATATATATTTCAACATATTAGAATGTTTTTTTTTTTTTAGTAAATATTTATATATAGAATGTAGAACCCAAAAAATCGTAATATACTAAAGACGGGATGATTTTGTTTATGAAAAAATAAGTAAAAAATATAAAATAAAGTGTCTTTATTTTATATGTATGTATTGAATACAGCTGAAAAAAATTATTTTAAATATGAAAATATATATATGTGTAGGTGTACGTAAAGAAAAAGACAAATAATACTGTGATTACACATCACTAACTAATTTTGGCTTGCCATATTACTACTTACTGCAAAATTCTGTACATTCTGTGCCATTGCAACACTCGCATCTTTGCAGCGTACTAACTTGATTCCATGCTATTAAAAAAAATAATAATAAAAATTTGGCTCAATTTTAGAGAAAATATATAATAATACACAATATATATGTAAAATCTTAATTTTCTCGAACTAGAGTTTCACACTAAGCCTCTCTTTCGCAAAGTTCACATTTTTCTCTACCACACCTCATTTAATCTATTCATACTTCACATTTGAGAAAACACAACTCTACATATATTCTATCACACACATGCAGAATACTTTTCTACGTACATTGTCTAATATACAAGACAAGTTCCTTATGCTGTGGCGAAATGTCTTCTTGCATCTGATGTCGCTGTGAGATGAGCTTTGATTTCCCATTCATATGAAAGACTGGCTTTGGTACATTACTGTGAGCATGAAATACACGAATAGAGACCTTATTATAGGTAATACTAAAGCAAACAATTTTTTTTAAGTCACGCATTATTACACACACGATCTTATGTAATATACGTGATGGATTGTTATAGTTGCTTGTTGTGTAATGTAAATATATAAACGTGATTTATAAACAATGCTTGCATTTACGTGAGTAGTTACAAAACGTAATTCACGCACGCTAGCATATAATGTAATAAAAAAGAAGAAAGTTCTATTTGAAAAAAAGAGATTAATTCACAAGCATATTTTAAAGCAGTTAAAAACTATAGATCATTATATAAATGTTGAAACAAAACAATTTCCTTATTACATCACATGCTAACACGCTGGAAAAAAAAAAAAAAAAAGAAAGCGTTTAAATTCCGCGCTACGAAATAAATTCTTTTCACAGAAATAAATCACATAAATGAATTATAATAACTAATGTAAATTACATAGAATTTAGGCGATTTTTTTACGCTGCAAGTTACATGCGAGCCTGTCAAGGAAGTTAAACTCCACACTTTTTGTAAAAAAATAATCTTAATTTTTTAATATTACACGGCAGCAATAATCATGTGCCGAAATTAAGAAATCTACTAAAAAGCGGAGTTGATTAGTTTGATTTCCCGAGAAATTTGTATGATGAATTGCGTAACCCTGGCGTAGCGGGGGAGAGGAAGGAACGCATGGAAAAGAAGCGTTCGAAAAAGAGGTTAAGATTACATCTCTATCGTTCTCTCTCTCTCTCTCTTTCTCTCGCTCGCTTCATCTCTCTTTCTCTCTCTCTCACCGGGTGATCTCGTGGTCGTCCTCGGGATCGGTCTTCCTCGTCATATCGCGTAGAGTATCCAACCTCTCGAGTTTCTGACTGATCCCTGCGAAAAGCGACGGATTCGCGAGAATTCAGAGTCAGCTGTTTTTTTTTTTTTTTTTTTTTTTTTTTTTTTTCAAACGCGATTGTATGCGGCTGCCTAATCGTGGACGACAACCTCGATACCGCGACATGGAGAAAAAATCCAGAATCAGTACCTCGTCGTGTTTTCGCTACGATCTTGCTAGGTCCTTTCGACACGGTATACATGATCCTCGTCCTCGGATAAGTGCGGGAACCTTGTTTCGCGTGCGCGATGCCCAGATCATTCGCGAACGTGTCGTTGTCACGCTTGTCGCGTGTTCACGGGACGAATCGTCGCAACAAATTGCTGATTGCTGATATCACAAGCGCAAGCCGCAAGAGCCCGGTGATTATTCCCCGGCTTACCACACCACTACGACACGCGCTTACGAAATCACAGGCCAGTGCTGCTCATGATGAACTTGGTTGGATGCGCTAACAATCTGAACGAAAGAAGTGGGAGACGAGAAACCGCGATAGTGGGGGAGGGATAACTCCGATATCACACGCGATACCGGGATATTGCGGCATCGATGCTCGCTTATCAACGCTTTATCAGGGGATTTTTCCTTGTTACGGTAAGGTAAACATCAATTTCCGGAAAAAAATACTTTTAAGGAATAGAATATTACCTTTAATTCTTACATTTAATTGTGCGATCATTTATCTGACATGTAATAAAAAATGATTTTTAATTATTATTTTTATTTGCCGTGGAGTAATTAATTAAATTAATTTAAAAATTAATTTGGGAATTAATTTAAGAATTAATTTGAGAATTAATTAAAAATTAATTTGAGAATTAATTTAAAAATTTATTTGAGAATTAATTTAAAAATTCATTTGAGAATTTATTTAAAAATTAATTTGAGAATTTATTTAAAAATTAATTTGAGAATTTATTTAAAAATTCATTTGAGAATTAATTCAAAAATTTATTTGAAAATTTTAAATTAATTTTAAAAAATATTCTTTTTCTAGTAAGAAGAGATTTATCAAACTTTGATAGAATTAAACATGTGAGAGTAATTATATTTTTCAGATATAATATAATAATAACAAGTCTTTTTTTTATATTTGAAAATATAATGTAATATATAGAAGACACATAGAAAGAGATAGAGGCGAAAAATTTCGTTATGATGCACAGTTTTATTTTCTGCATAAGTGAAGAGTACATATTATATCCTCCTTATTAACTGCGAGTTCAGTCAATACAGGCACCGCAGGTGACTTTTTTTCTATTTTTTTAACCATCTATTTGCACTAAATATGCATAAATACAATGTAGAAACATAAGCAAATAAACTTATAATATTGAATGTTGGGGTAGTAAATAATAAAATTCTGAGGGGTAAAGCTAAAGTATCACTTTTTTCCAGAGATGTAACATAGAATATGAAAAAAGATCTCTGGTCACTAATGTTACTGCTGCATTTACAATAATTCCAGAGAATATATTAATCATTTATATAATATTATATAATATTACATAACTGTATTAATGGATACTAGCAGTAATAATAAATTGATGATTCTAAAATTTATATATTAATAAGTTAATAATATAAAGTCTCTACAGTAGTAGGAATTATAATAGTAAAAAATAACAATAATATAATAATAATTCTGTAGAATGTGTGTGTACCTTTGCATAGAATGTCAAACAGTCGAGACAAAATTTACTTCAACATAGAAAAATAGTTTCAATATATAGATAAGATCGATTATATTCAATTGTAAACATTTGTCCGAATATCCATGCATCAGTTCGGAAATTTGATCTAAATGCGATCTTATTCGATTCTGATTCGATCAGACAAAATTTATCATAAGATCTATTATGATCTCTGGAAATTCTCATGGACGCATATTGTCGCTTATGTACAGACATAAATTAATCCTTAACATGCTATTATTCGCATAATAATTCATAGTCACAACTTTAAAGCAACTTATCCATATTACGATCATAATTTTATAACAGAAATATTTCAAACATGATTGTATAGTATACCAGTTACCTTATTAAGTACGTACAAGCACAAAGCATTTTTCTCCTGTATGTACTTTGTCTCCCGTGCCTTTGTATGTTCTATATCTTATTTTCCAGCTCCTAATGTTAAAAATACAAATCGATACTTTAAATTATCGGTGATACAGCAGGAGCGGTAATTTAATCAGAAAATCATACATGCCGTTTAAACTTAGCACGACAGTCCCAGTAAAAGTTTAGCCTCCCATGTTTTACAACAGAGAGTTCCAAGGTACTTAAAGAGCGAATAAAGATTTGTCTTGATCTTTGTTAATTTGGCGCTGGATATTCTGATTACCAGTTGTTGAGGAGTTCGAGGTGGCAGTTGCCGCTGTAGGGAGAGTCGGTAAAGCTTCAGCCGCGGCCGCACGTTCTGCTAAGAAACGCTCGAATTCCGACGATGTCAAAGATTCCTGATCGCCTTGCCCTCCAGGCTGCAATATAAATTATGCTATTCGACAACAGTTTTTTTGCGAAATATAATTGCAAAAAAAATATGATACGTAATCTTTTAAACTTGTACATTACGAATTCTTACAAAGATTTGTGACCTGCTCTTAACAATTATAAAAAAAATTCTTTTTTACGCCTATACGATACTTACTGTGCGATCTAACCAAGCTGCCATTTCATTGAATTCAGATTCCACGTTCGGCTGAGTATCGAAAAACAAACACAAACATTGAACAAAATGACAAAAAAAAAAAAAAAAAAAATAAAAAAAAAAAAAAAAAAAAAAAAAAAAAGATACAAACAATATACATTAATATCGATGCAAACAAAACCCAAGGGTAACATAATGGAAATTAAAAACTTTTATGTTTAGAAGCAATTGTGAAAACGAATATTTAACATCTATAAGCAGGATTTACCAAATTACCATACCTTGCTCCCTTTTAGTGCCTGTATGTTTCTCTAATTTGAACTATTATCTCTTTTTAAAGCAATTTCGCACAAATTTTCATAACTCCATTGCTTTAATAAATCTCTTTAGTGACTAACAAACATCCTCTCTAATTTATCTCTATTATTAAATAATTTAAAGTATAATCTATAATATCCGAAATTGCTTTATAAGAGATTTATAATAGTGCTGCCAATACTCAGATACTTGATTATCTTGGATATATTTATCAAGAATATCCGGTTTATAGAGGATATCGTTTACTGGGTATTATCTATCATTGTCGATAACAGATACCTGGGCATAGAGATTATCATATTGAGTATTAACAACACTTCTTACATTTAAGTTAACATCAAACATGAATTGTAGAACTCGAACATATATATATATATATATATATATATGTTTATGTTTAATCATATTTTATATAAAGGAATAATTTTGCTGTATGATTCTAGAAGAATAATGATTAATTTTAATTATTTAATTAGTTTAAGGAGAAAAGAGAATGCTACGCACGCTAGCACTAGTAGCAGTCTGCTGAGGTAGCTTAGGGTTATTGCGGTTGAGAATTGCCGTACTTAGGCTACCTCCTCTCACCTGCTCCAAGTTATCCTCGTATTTGCTGCCACTGTAAGTTTGAAAATAACATATATATATATATATA